CTTGAAAGTTCTGGGAAGAGAGAAGTCACCAGGGGCAGATGGGTATTGATAGAATTATTTCAAGGCACAGAGATTGAATCTGCCAAAATCCTAACAAGAATGTGACAACAAATATAGGATACAAAACAATGGTCTACAGACTGGAAAAACTCAATATATACTCCAATCCCCAAGAAACGAGATGCCAAGGAGTGCAGTGACTATAGGACCATTGCTCTAATTTCCCATGCAAGTAAAGTGATGCTCAAGGTGCTGCAACAAAGGCTCTTACCTTACATGGAGCAAGAGATGTCTGATGTCCAAGCTGGATTTTGAAAAGGGAGAGGCACATGAGATCTAATTGTGATTATTCAGTGGCTACTGGAGTGCTCCAAAGAATTTCAGAAGAAGTTTAGTCAGTGTCTTATAGATGAGAGTATAGCCTTTGATTGAGTGGATCATGAAAAGCTATGGGCTGCTCTGAAAGAAATGAGCATGCTTCAGCACTTGATTGTTCTGCTGTGTAACCTATATTGCAGACAAGAAGCCACTGTCAGGACAGAACATGGAGGGAAAGAATGGCTTTCTGTAGGCAAGGTTGTCAGACAAATATGCAGATGGCACCATCTTATGGGCAGAAAGCAGCAGTAACTTGAAACAACTTCTGACGAAAGTGAAAGAAGAAAGTGCCCCAGCAGGATGGTATTTGTACATCAAGAAGACAAAGATCATGGCTACAGAACTACACAACTTTAACATAGGTAATGAAGACATTGAAATTGCTAAAGATTTTGTTCACCTGTGTTCAGTCATCAATTTAAATGGAGACTGCAGCCAAGAAATCAAGAGAAGACTGAGACTTGGAGAGGCAGCACTGGAAGAATTAGGGAAGATCATCAAGTGTGAGGAAGTGTCATTAGAGGCCAAGGCTAAGATTATGTACACCCTCGTGTTCCTGATTACTATGTTGGGGTGTGAGAGCTGGACAGGGAAGAAAGCTGACAGGAAATAATATTTCATTTGAAATATGGTGTCGGAAGAGGGCTCTACGGATGACCGGGATTGCCAGAAAGAAGAACAAATGGGTCCCAGAACAAATTAACCCTGAACAATCACTGGAGGCAAAAATGACAAAACTGAGACTGTCCTACTTTGGGCACATCAAGAGAAGGCAGGATTTGTTGGAAAAGACAATAATGCTGGGAAATGTAGAAGGCTGCAGGAGAAGAGGAAGACCAAATATGAAATGGATTGAGTCCATAAAGGAAGCCATAGGCATGAGTCTGCAGTAGCTGAGTAGGGCTGTTGAGGACAGGACCCTGTGGACATCACTCATTTGTAGAGTCACCAGGAGTTGGAGCTGACTTGATGACACATAACAACAAACCTGTATTTCTCTCGGAGAACTTTAGAAATTTCCCTTTCTGTTTCAGAGTTCTGAAATTTCACAATTCTTTGTCTAGGTGTGTGTGTTTCTATGTGTGTCATATATCCAGTTTTGCACTAAGTAGACTTTTCAATGGAAACCAAAATGGTTTTCAGTACTGGAAATGTTTCAGATAAAATTTCGTTACACATACCACTTCTCTATTAAAATTATTCAGCTTTATCGAGGTATAATTGGCAAATAAAATTGTCTATATTTAAAGTGTAAAATGTGATGATTTGAGAGATATATACTTGTAAAATAATTACCACACATCAATCACCTCGCTTACTTTTTTTTTCTTTTTGAGGTGACTATGCTTATGATCTACGCTCTTAGCAAATTCAAAGTAAGCAACAGACTATTATTAAACTGTACATTAGATCCTCAGAGCTTATTCATCTTATAACTGAAGGCTTGTACCTGTGACCACTATCTCCCCCATTTCCACCATATCTCTGCCCTTGACAACCACCCTTCTACTCTCAGTTTCTATGAATTTGAGGGTTTTTTTAGAATTACACATCTAAGTGAGATCATATAGCATTCATCTTTCTCTGTCTGGCTTATTTCACTTGGCATAATGTCCTCTTAGTTCATCCATCTTGTTGCAAATGACAGGATTTCCTTCTTTCTCATGGCTGAATAATATTTCATTTTATATATACACACACATATATTTTCCAAATATATATACAATAATATAATAATACATCCATTATATATTTTTTGTTTATCCATTCATCCACTGACAGACACTTAGATTGTTTCTATATCTTGGCTACTGTGAATAGTGCTGCAATGAACATTACACTATAAAAGTGCAGATATCTCTTTGAAAAACTGATTTTGTTTCCTTAGATATATACCCAGAAGTGGAAATCCTGGTTCATATGGCAGTTCTGTTTTTAATTTTTTGAGGAATCTCTATACTGTGTCTCATAATGCCTGTATTAATCTACATCCCGACCAACAGTGTACAAATGTTCCCTTTTCTCTACATCCCAGCGAGCATTTTCTACCTTCTGTCTTTTTGATGAAAGCCATCCTAACTGGTAAGAGGTGATACCTCACTGTGTTTTTGATTTGTATTTCCTTGGTGATTAGTGATGTTGAACACCTTGTCATGTACTTCTTGGCCATTTGTATGTATTCTTTAGGAAAATGTCTATTTGGGTCCTTTACCCATTTTTTAATTGGGTTATTTGGTTTTTACCTATTGAGTTATATAGGTTCTTTATATACTTTGGATATTAACCCTTTATCACATAAATGGTTTGCAAATATTTCTCTCATTCTGTAGGTTGCCTTTTCCGTTTATTGATTATTTCTTTTGCTACACAGAAGCTTTTTAGTTTTATGTAGTCCCACTTGTTGATTTTTGCGTTTGTCTCATATGCTTTCAGTGTCATATGCAAAAAATAATTGCCATGACCAATGCCAAGGAGATTATGTTTTCTTCTAAGAGTTTTATGGTTTTAGTTCTTACGTTTGTCTTCAATCTATTTCAAGTTAATTTTTGTGAGTGGTATAAGATAGAGGTCCAGTTTCATTCTTTTGCGTGTGGCTATCCTTCAGCTTTTCACCATTGAGACTGAGTATGCTTTGAGCTGTGGGCTTGTCATATACAGCCTTTATTACGTTGAGGTGCTTTCCCTTTGTACCCACTCTGTTAAGAGTTTTTATCATAAATAGATGTTGAATTTTGTCAAATGCTTTTTCTACATCTATGGTGATGATCATAGGATTTTTATTCTTAATTCTGTTAAAGTGGTGTATCACATTTATTGATTTGCATATTTGAACTTCCTAGCATCCCAAGGATTAATCCCACCTGATCATGGTATATGATCCTTTCAACATGCTGTTGAATTCTGATTGCTAGGATTTTGTTGAAGGTTTTTGCATCTACGTTCATCAGGGATATTGGGCTGTAATTTTCTTTTCTTGTAGTGTCCTTGCCTGGCTTCAGTATCAAGGTAGTATTGGCCTCATTAAATGAGTTTGGAAGTGTTCTCTCCCCTTCAACTTTTTGGAAGAGTTTGAGAAGCATTGATGTTAATTCTTTAAATGTTTGGTAGAATTCACCAGTAAGGCCATCAGGTTATAGGCTTTTCTCATTGAGAGTTTTGATTACTGATTTAACTTCCTTATGCATTACTGGTTTGTTTGGATTTTCTATTTCTTCATGATTCAGTCTTGGTACAAGGTTGTATATTTCTAGGAAAGCATCCATTTCTTCTAGGTTGTCCAATTTGTTGGCATGTAATAACTCATAGTAGTCTCTTTGATCATCTGTATTTCTATGGCATCAGTTGTAATGTGGTCCCTTTCATTTCCAGTTTTATTTGTCCTTTTGTTTAGTTACTGTAGCTAAAGTTTTGCCAATTTTGTTTATCTTTTAAAAACCACCTCTGTCTGTTGATCCTTTCTTGGTTTTTTTGGTTTATTTCACTTGTTTCTGCTCTGATTGTTGTTCATTCCCTTCTGCTAACATTTTTTGTAGTTCCTTCAGGTGTAAAGTTAGTTGGTTTATTTGAAATCTTTCTTTTTTTCTTAAGAATGTCATTTATCATCATAAATTTCCCCCATAGAACTGTTTTGCTGTATCCTATAAGTTCTGATATGTTGTGTTTCCATTTTCATTGGTTTCAAGGTATTTTTTGTATTTCCCTTCTGATTTCTTCTTTACCCATTGGTTGAGTTCTTGGTCTCTGGGTCTTTTCTTCTCGATACCCTAACTTCTAGCTTTCTATAAACTTATAGCCCCCATCAGTGAGTTGGTTCTTTCCCAGATGACAACTCACACAAACCCCTGCTATGATGCAGTGAACCTTGCCCTGGTAACCTATCTGGTGGAATACCTTCCCCCAGTTTCTTGCTGCTTCGCCTCCATCCTTCATTGCTTTCCAGTTCCATTTCTATTCTACAGTTATAATTACCTCATTTGTGAGTGTAGGTGTGTGTTTTTGGTGTTTTCTTCTTATACTGTGTGCCTCAATGGTACATATTTGGAACAAAGGAAATACCTAATCTGAACAGGAAACATAACGTTAATTTTCCATAGAGTCTACTATTTGTGTCTTTGAGAATCTTGTAATGATATTAACGTCTTACTTTTTTTCCCTTTTAACTCTTTTCCCTTAGCTATTGGTTTTCTTTTTGAGAGTTTTGTTTTAGGTATTAATTTTCTTTTGTTGAGTTGTTTCTCTTTTTCATGGACTGAAGTTTTCTTATATTTGATTTATTCTTAGTAGTAATGTTATATAGGAATAGAAAGGATGGATTGATATAGAAGGGAATGAATGCTTTGAAAGCTGGGCATCTGGGATCCCCAGACTTTTCTTATCAGTACACTTATCCTTCTGAGATTGAGTACAGCCTGACAGGGGTAGCTGACAGGGGAAGCAGAAAAATAAATGGGATTTGGGGACATATTTTCTGTATTCAAGTTTTAGTTAAGTATCTGGTTATTTTGTACTTTCAGCAACATAAAATATGAACTTCTTCCTTTTTTAATAATTATTAAATATATTTACTTCAATATATACTCTTTTAGAATAATCCTATCAATTTTTTTCTTTATTTTTTATAGCATAAGGAAAAAAGCACAGTTTGAGTCTGAAATCCAATCTTTGATAAAACTGAAGTCAAAAAATGAAACATTTCTTAAAGAACTATACAAGGATGCTTATAACATTGGTACTGTTTTCCACCTAACCAAATTTAAAACAGAGGAATTAGAAGAGAAAATAGCAGAAGTGAGAAGAAAATTCAAGGTTTGTATCTCTGTGTTCTTCTTAGTTATGAAAAATGGTGATTAATCTGAATTTTATTGATTTAATATTGATATATTTTAATTTAAACTATAATACTATTTTCAAAAAAATTACTCCTTCTGATAAATCAGAAGAAAATCGCTTCTCTCAGAGGCCCAGCCTGAATAGAAGAGAAACGTGACTCAATGTAGCTAATCAACACTTTTGTCTACTTTTTGTTATTACTGAACTTAAACTACCTGACTCACCAGAAGAGTGGTACTTGGTTAAGCCTCACTCTAAATATCTATGTAATAGTTCCTGCCTGTGGCAGGAAGAAAAGATGCTGGGAAGTGCTCTTGCTCTCTTACAAAGCAAGAGAAGGGAGTACCTATATCAGGCCTGCAAGGTATTGGATTCCAGAGCACCAAGCAATCAGTAGACCACAATGCCACAGAAACAACTATTCAGAGGCCTCAAATCCATTCCTAAGTGAGAGCTATGATGAATAGCCACTCCCTGCCATTTGGCATAGAGACTAGCAAAGTCAACACCATATTACCACACCAGGGGGACCACTTCATCAGGCTGCTTCTCTTCATAACACGTCATATCCACACTTCTCCCATCTTTCATATTTTCTTCTTAAAGACTTATAATCACACAATTATCTGTAAAATATAGAATCTGTATTCTTTGTCCAAGCCCTCTACTAGCACTATCTTTAGTGAAGACTTTCTCTTGTGCTATCCAAATTTAGAACACATAGATTGTCTGCCAGTAAATGTTTCTGTACTGAGAGACTTGGGTTTTGTTCTCACATTGAGTCCAGCTGTTCGATTCACTTGGTGTATCGTGCCTGTGCCTCTTCCCGTGGTTGTTCACTGGGGTTACTATATCTTAGATGCTACGAAATTAGTATGCTAAAAATTAAGGGGCCAGCCCAGTGGCACCGTGGTTAAGTTGGCATGTTCCGCTTTGATCGCCCGGGGTTTGCTGGTTCAGATCCCAGCTGTGGACCTATGCACCGCTTGTCAAGCCATGCTGTGGCAGGCAGCCCAGGTATAAAGAAGAGAAAGATGGGCACAGATGTTAGCTCAGGGCCAGTCTTCCTCAGCAAAAAGAGGAGGATTGGTGACGGATGCTAGCTCGGGGCTTATCTGCCTCAAAAAATAAATAAATTTGAAAAAAGTGAAAATTAAAAATAATTATGTGTAGTAAAAATTAACCTCAAAATTATTTTTAAAATATAAGACATGTCACTATATATATAGTTTAGCATATATGATAATACAGTAGATATTGTTTATAATTTCCTATAATTTTTCATTACTATGTGTTTCTCTGTGGCCATCAATTTTTTGTTGTTGTTGAGGATATCATGAAGACATCATCCAATGATTTGGCCGCTTAAAGTGTTTTAATTTTTTCAATTGAAAGGAAACCCTTGGTATATAATTCACATATTTTTCCCATAGCTGTCACAACTTACCTTCAATTCTTCACACACATTCCTTCACTAATCTGAGGCAATCACTTGTTTAGAAAGATATTGCATTGAATTGTTTATTTTTTTTCTAAATTTTCCTGATGCCGTAAAATACAATTTGAACGTTAAGTGCCAATTTGGTGTGACTCCACTGTACTTGCTTTGCCAACCCAAAGCAAAGTGTCCCCCTGGCTTTATTCAAGAAAAATTAAAGAAATTGTTCATCAAGTCCTTTCCTTACCCTACGGTAGCTGAGAGATAACAAGAAAGAAGCAACAGAAAGAAATTACTTCACTTAGGAAATATTCTGCATTGCTAAACATTTCTGCCAATCTTTGAGTTGAATATATAGGGCATTAAATTTCTCTGATGTACACATATGTATCTGTGTCAGAGTGGTAGTGAATTAAAAATAAATGTCTAGATAATCCTTAGATAATTCTGGTTTGTAGTAACTCAAGTTTGTAGTTTCTACCTTTGTAATGACTCTCCTGTCTCTCATTGACTAATTAATGAAAATCTATATAATTTTCTGACTCTGGGCATCATGTTTTTCTTCAGCTTTGTATATTTATTGATCCTGGTCTGAAATTAGTCCTTAATCCATGTCTTCTAGAAACTAATTATAGCAATACCACCTCTGAGATAGCTCTGAGAAATACTATTTTGAAGCCTCAGAGGTAGAATTTCTAAATTACATTCTCTCAAATTATAGCATCTGTAAAATGCCCAGTAAATTTTAGGCAGCCTTAAACTAGAAGCAACCCTGAATAATCAAGATACCTAGCAATTTCTGGAATTTTCCAACTATTGCAGATATTGATTTGTTCCGATTTTTCCATACCTTCAATTCCAATAACTAACCTATTCAGAAAAGACCTGATTAGCCAAGTCCCAGGGTAAAATTAGCCAATAATGATGGGAGATAAATCAATAAAAGGGTAATATGTATTCAGTTATGGAGTTGATAGAATGAACAGAAAATCATCAGTGTTGTCTGAAGAATGTGATATTGTAACAAAAAAATTTTGAAAGCTTTTATCACATATTAAGTACTTCTTAATGTTTCCACGGAAGGCTTTTGTGCAAGCTTCAGGAATTTGGAGGGCTTTTTGCTTGAATATTTTGGAATTTTGATGGAAAAGTAGAATATCCAGCCACTCTGGTTCCAGGTTAAAATTGTAGTACAAGAACTTAAGTGGAAAATTAGTAGAAAAGAAGGAAGGAAGTAGAAAAGAAAACAGAGTTTTCTGCAAGCCTATTATATTCTGGACTCCTTATACATATTAACTAATTTAGTGTTCATAATACTGTGCAGTTGTTATTAATGTGTTCATTTTGAGGAGACACAGCTTGCTCAAAGTAGCATAGCTTTCAGGTAGCTGTTTAGAGTTTGGGGACAAGGTCTTCTGATGCAGGATTTGGTCTAAAATAGGCAGTCAGACATTAACTAGACATACACTCTGACGAACAAAGATTCAGTCAGATTCAAAGCTTCAAAATAACCATATTAGGAATCACCTTTTAAAACTTTATCTTTTTAGGGCAGTATTAGGGTCAGAGCAAAATTTAGAGAAGGTACAGAGATTTCCAATATATCCTCTGCCCCTGCATATGCATAGCCTCCCCGTTTATCAACATCCCCCACCACAGTGGTACATTTGGTACAATTGACAAACCTCCAATGACACATCATTAATACTCAAAGTCCGTAGTTTACATTAGGGCTCACTCTTGGTGTCGTATACATTTCTTGATTTTGGACAAATATATAATGACATGTATCTATCGTTATGGTATCATACAGAGATTTTCACTGCCCTAAAAATCTTCTGTGCTCTGCTTCTTGTTCCTTCTACCACCCCCAAACCATGGAAACCACTGATCTTTTTACTGTCTCCATAGTTTTGCCTTTTCCAGAATGTCATAGTTGGAGTCATACAGTATGAACCCTTTTCAGATTGGCTTCTTTCACTCAGTAATATGCATTTAAGCTTCCTCCATGTCTTTGCATGGCTTGATAGCTCATTTCTTTTTAGGGCTGAATAATATTCCATCTTGACATTGTCTTTCATAGAGCAGAAGGTTTTAATTTTAAAGTCCAGCTTGTCAATTTTTTCTTTCATGGATCGTGTCTTTGGTGTTGTATATAAAAAGTCATTGCCATACCCAAGGTCGTCTAGGTTTTCTTCTATGTTATCTTCTAGGAGTTTTATAGTTTTGCATTTTACTTTTAGGTCTATGATCCATTTTGAGTTGACTTTGTGAAAGGTGTAGGGTCTGTGTCTAGCATCTTTTTCTTTGCATATGAGTGTCCACTTGTGCCAGCACCACTTGTTGAAGAGACTGTCTTTGATCCTTTGTGAAAGATCAGTTGACTGTATTTTTCTATGGGTGTTTCTGGACTCTCTGTTTTGTTCCATTGGTCTGTTTGTCTCTTCTTTTGCCAGTACCACACGGTCTTGAATACTATAGCTTTATAGTATGTGTCGATGTCTGGTGTTGTCAGCTCTCCACCTGTTCTTCAATATTGTGTTGTCTATTCTGGGTCTTTTGTTTCTCCTTATAAACTTTAGAATCACTTAATCAATATCCATAAAATAACTTGCTGGGATCTTGATGAGGATTGAATTGAATCTATAGATTGAGTTGGGCTCAACTGATTTCTTGACAAAATTCAGTCTTCCTATGCATTATCATGGAATATCTTTCCATTTATTTAGTTCTTGTTTGTAGTTTTGTAGTTAGAGTTTTGTAGTTTTCCTCATATAAATCTTATTCATATTTTGTTAGATTTATATCCAACTCTCTCATTTTGGAGGGATACTAATGTAAATGGTTTTGTGTTTTTAATGTGAAATTCCACTTGTTCATTGCTAGCGTATAGAAAAACAATTGACATTTGTGTATTAACCTTGTGTCCCATAACCATGCTATAATTGCTCATTAGTTCCAGGAGTTTTTTCTTAATTCTTTCAGATTTTAACATAGACAATCATGTCATCTGCAAACAAAGACAGTTCTATTTCTTCCTTCCTAATCTTTATATCTTTTATTTACTTTTCTTGTCTTAATGCATTTTAAGGGCTTCCAGTACAGCAGTGAAAAGGTGTGTTGAAATATTGAAATGGGACATCCTTGCCTTGTACCTGACCTTAGAGGGAAAGCTTCACTTTTCTTACCATTAACCGTGATGTTAGCTGTAGATTTTTTGTAGACATCTTTATCAAGTGGAGGAAGTTCCCTTCTGTTTCAGTTTATTGGAAGTTTTTACTATGAAAGGATGTTGGATATTGTCAAATGCTTTTTCTGTGTCTATTTATACAAACGTGATTTTTCTTCATTAGCCTGTTGATGTAATAGATTACCTTAATTGATTTTTGAATGCTGTATCAGCCTTTCATAACTGGTATAAATCCCATTTAATCATGATATATAATTTTTTTTATATGTTGTTGGATTTGATTTGCTAAAATTTTGTTGAGGATTTTTACATCTATTTTCATGAGAGATATTGGTATGTAGTTTTCTT